TAGGGGGTGGAGTGAAGTGATAATTTTTTTTTGTTTTTTTCCTGTTTTTAAAGCTTTTAACAAGATTTCTATTTACCCATATTATCCATTGGGTAACTCGTTTTTACCCATTTAAAATGTGAGTCGAGTCGAGTAACTTACCCTTTTTTATTTAACTCATTTTTTGATCGACTCATATTCGGCTCGACTCGCTCGTTTGCCACTCCTAATGCTAGGTATGATAAAATAAGGGAAAAGGAATATAAGACAAAACATTCAAAGGCTATATTGAAGACTTTATATCCAATGGAGGATGAAGCAGCAAAGGTATATACCAGAAAAATATTTCAAAAATTTCAAGAAGAATTGATTCAGTCTTAAAAATTTATTTTAGAAAAGATTGAGGCTCAGGATGGAATACATATCTATAAAGTTCATTTGTTTCAAAAACAAACTCCTGCATACACGGTTAGATTGAACCTTATACTGAAAGATGCTACTTGTTCTTGTCATAAGTTTGAGTTCATGGGAATCTTATGTAGGCATGTGCTTATGGTATTTATAAAGAAATAAATTTACTCACTTCCACCCTGTTATCTATTGAATCGATGGACAATGTATCCAACCAAAGAAAAAGTTAATGACATTTCAAATGACAAATCACAAGTGAATAATTTGAAGCCTTCCTCTATATGGTTCAACAATATTATGATGCATTCTTTTGGTCTCTCTGAACGAGCTACATGGTCTGAAAGACATTATAAATTTGCGAATCAAAGATTATCCCAACTATGTGAAGAACTTGATAAACTTCCTTACGAGGTCAAGAATGATAATATAGCTAACGAGTCAAATGTGGAACTAAACACAAGTGAGCAGAGACAAAACACTATCTTGATTGACCCTTTATGTGTGGTAACTAAAGGACGTCCAAATTCATTGAGAATGAAAGGTGGTTTGAAAAAATCTCTGAAGGTCAAAAAATGTTCTTCTAAGAAACAAACAAGTCAAATCAAAAGCTCAAAGAATGGCAAGGCAAAGGACAAAGGCAATGGAATGAGGTAATCTCACTTTATATAATGCAATAATTATTGATTATTATTTTTGTAACTTTGATATTTGATGTATAGTTCAAGCTCTAATGTTGAATTGGAATCTCAAAGCACATCACCACTACTTAGTACAACTCCTAGTACAACTCCCATAATGGTAAATTCTTCTTTTGATACTTTATGTTATGTGTTTATTAAAATTTATTTTCATTTACCTCCATATATTTATCTAATAAATTGTACTTTTTTCTTTTTAAAAAAGCAATCCCAATCATATTCGGAATCATTTCAAGGACAAATTAACCATGGATAGCATACCTCATTCACGGTAGATTTGCTCTTATCGTGTTCCAATATATTTATAACGTATTTGTATATCTATACATGTTAAAATGACTTTTAGTACTTTTTCAGGATCTGATGAGAACAACTTCATATCCGTACATGCAAGATTTATGATTTATGAATGTTAAACTTGTCTTTAGAGCTTCGAGACTCGAGCTTCAAGACTCATGGAGAGACAAACATCTAGAATTTTTTTTTTCTTTTCTTTTGGTAGAAAATAGTTCTAGGTTCTAAAGTACAATTTTTTCCTTTCAAGATTTGATTTGTATATTGCAATATCTATTAAGAACAAAGAAAAAGGTCGAATGGTATTTGAAAATGGCAATACCCCTCCAATAACTTAACCTCTACAGGTAAAGTTAATTTCCAAGATTTGATCTTTTGTGTTTTTGGTCAAGTTGTCACACTTGTATCTAGCAAAATCTATCAAGAACAAAGAAAAAGGCCAAAAGGGTGTTTGAAAATGACAATCTTGGACATGAAAAGGGACTAAAGAAGAAAAATTAACTTGCAAGATTTGATCTTTTTTCTGTTTTATTCAAGTTTTCACATTTGTATATAGCAAAAATCTATCAAGAACAATTAAAAGGGCCAAAGGGAGTGTTAGGTTGACTGATGGTAGTGTAAAGATGCACAAAGCTTATAAGTCATGTTTAGAGATGACGTTCATATTATCCTTTGATCTAACTTATGAGATTATACCGAGTATGATGTTGTTATAACATATGGTATCTAAAGAAGTGTAATGCAATCAGGTGAAAATTGTACTACAATTTCTGTTTTTCTAAAAATTAAAAAGTGCAAACCATCTTAGACAATCCAATTAAGCTCAATGCTTTCGAAAATTTACTGATTTTCTTGTTTTTTATTTTGATCAATGAAACCAAGTTTCAATAAACAAACCCGAAATCTATAACATTGCAGCATGGTTTTAACTTAAAATTGATAGGAATGTCACATAGTTCTCTGCATTCTAAAACCAAATGGTACTGCCAAAATTACAGAGGAGGAACCACTAATGTGTAGTTTCACGTCAAATAAATGAGGACATGCATTACATATCCTTAAGCCTCAGAGACGGGACGGGGTACTCAAACACAACATCTTTGTCTGAAGGCTTTCTATTAACTGTTGAAAAGGTCTCCAACTAATACTTGGTGTTGTTTCGTTCCTTGGGGCCAACGTGATACTTCGTACGCTTCCAACAATCTCTGCTGGAACAACCAAGTCCTCCAATATGGCATCATGAACAGATGAAAGAGTTCTGTTGCGGGGTCGTTGAGCAGCTGAGAACCTCTCTTGGTGAGGTCTCACTATCCTCCTGGTGGCAATAATGATCAGTCACAAGATCAGTTGCTCAGACCTTTTAAGAATAGCTAGGGGTGTGTGTCGATAATCCAACAATAATGCATTTTTAGGTCAATATTTTTGGAGAGCTCGAGCCAAGGTTGTAGGCATCTTTAACCCATAATTACGCAACACATCCAAAAAATACGACTGCATATCATATCTGTGGCGCAAAAAATAGGTGTCTGGCAATTTCATGTTTTGTCTCATAACTGCTCAAGCCACCAGAAGATGTGAAAAAGCACCCTAAAGTAGCAACCAAGACAATACGACAGTAGGAATTATGTAAAAGATTTAAAAGTAAATCAATGGACATCAAGGATCTTCAAAAAGAAATGAAACAATTAACATAAAACATAGGGAAAAACCAATTTCGAGAAGGTGGTAGAGTATGAGAAGCATATGACACACAGAACCAAAACAGAGGTTGTATGTCATGTGTTTATGAATCCCATATCCCATTTGATTGATTTGTGAATAAACATATCTCAGTCTTGCCAAACGAACCCACCTAGCTCTCCCTATTTTACCCTCTTTGTCGCCCAGAGAAAAGGAAATGAAACATTATACAAAGATAACTATTTGCACAACAGAAGTGGTCGCGGTGAATGTAACAAATCCAATAACAAGACCAACTCAATTCAAATTCAAACAACCGACAAATCTATTTCATTAACTCGTAATTGGAATTACAAGGGAATTTAAGAACTAAATGGAAATTGAAGAACACAAGTAGAAGAAAGGGGATGATAAGTAGAACTCATAGAATCGGGGGGACACTACCATCAACATCATACAAAACCAAAACTCATACATTTAATTCAAGACCGAGAATATCAAAGATAAGTCAAGATCAAGATAAGGTGAGAAAAGAAAACTTACAGAAGCTAGAAAGGTACTCTTCGAAGCACTATCATAAAGAACGAATGCAAACTTTCACAACCTGATCTGGAGGGTAAGGACCTCTATCCCTCAAAGTTCTGTAAGCCTCAATAACATTGATCACTTCATTTGCAGTCTTGTTTAACCCATACTATTGCTTAAGATGTGCTACATTGTCGATGTGGCCTTGAAAGATGCAGAAAATGTCATCCACAACAGCAAACAACCTGGGAAGAAGAGGGTTTTGGCGTTCAGATGAGTAAGCCAAGAATCCAGAAGAACCAGGTTCAGATGAGATTGGAGATCTGAGATAATGACATCAGTCTGAAACATCATAAGAATCTATAATAGATTCAGATTACAAACATCTGCTACAAATTTAAAATAATTCTCCAAAAAATCTTTTATGGACAATTTCACATGAATAAGGGCCCATTTGGTCATGTCATATTGTATCATGATATGGAATCATGATATGATATTCTGATATGAAATTTTAATGTTGTATATTTTTTCATAAACATAAAATTTACATAAGTTGTAAAACTATTAAAATAGCCCCAATTGTTTATTCAATATTATCAAATAAACAAAAAATTATAAAATCGTATAATAAATTATTACAAAGTTATTTGTTCTCCACTTAAGTAATTGTTTCATCTAACTTTAATTTAATAAAAAAAATTGAACATAAATTGTAGTGTAATAGTCTTTAATATAATCATCTCACATAGTACGGACAATTTCCTCACGTTGAACTTGCATTTCTCGATCATGTGACCGAGAAGACGAACTAACATTGTTACTTTGAGCCATTTGTTGGTCAATATCCTCCGCAACTATATCTTCATGTTCATAGACCATAAATATTTCATCACTACTTTGGTATTCTCGCAAATAATTATGTAACACTGCACAAGCTATGACAATTTTCACTGGTGTATCAATATCATAATGGTTCATGCCTTGTTTTAGTATTCTAAATCTATTTTTCCAAGCTCCAAAAGTCCATTCAATCACATTGTGCAGAGATGAATGCCTATAATTAAATAGTTCTTTGACATTTTGAGGCTCTCTTTGACTTCCTCAGTAATCTTGCAAATGATAGCGTAGTCCTTTGTATGGAGTTAAAAATCCTTTTGTGTTTTGAAAATCAGCATCAACAACATAAAAATAGTGCTTCCAAGACAATGCAAAGTCATAAAATAAATATTATCTCTTTAAACAAAGTTGATAGGAAATATGTAACTAAATACTAATAACTTACACATAAAATATAAATGTTCA